GACGGGGACGGCCATGGGACGGCCGTAAGACGGTCCCAAGCTCGGGGACGATCAAAAAGGTGAACTATTCTTGATTTGTAACTAATACTGATTTTAAACGGTCCAATAATCGTCTTTTATAAAAGAAGGTCAGAGGACCGCTCAAATGACCCCCTACCTGCCTTTAAGGTATGAGTTGATTGGTTTAAGCCCTAGGAAGATTCCTTGCGATATTATACTTTCGACATTTATTCATGGGGGGGGATAGTAGTGATTTCAAACGGTCTAAGACCCGTTTTTTATGTAAAAGGGTCAAAGGACCGCTCAAATGGACCCTTACCTGCCTTTAATGCAGGCCTGTAACGTGGTATTTATAGGAAAGGAGAGTAGCGATAAAAAGTATATATACGAAATGGCCGAGCCACTTCGCAGTCACAACTATATAAGAAAATCTATTCCTCTTTGTATATTCATCCTTGTGCTCTACAATCTTCCTACAAGCTCAATTCGTTAAAACGATCACCTTTATTTATTACTCATTGCATTATGCGTTTCAATAACAACCTCCTCTTGCTCGCTTCCTTCCTCGGCGTCGCAACCGCTTTCCGTCGAAGATGCAACCCCGACCTGGCTACCCAGAGAACCGGCATCGGCTCTTACACGTGGGCATCCTCCGACAACTGGACTGTTGTCGCGGCGGACTTTTGTAGCTCTGTAAAAGAGTTGCAAGAGATGAACGCTGGGCCTACGGTTGAAGAAGGAAACGTTCTCAGAGTTCCTTGCCGATATCGAAAGCGCGACTGCGCGAGGATCCAAGGCAGTGATAATGGGTACTATACGGTCGTCGATAGCGACGATTTGTCGCTTATTGCGGCGGATTTCTGCACAACCGACGATGGTTTAAAGTCCTTGAATAGCGACCTTCTTGCGAACAACACCATCACGCTCACGCCTGGCTTGATCGTTCAAGTTCCTTGCACCTGGAACTAGCTATAATAAAGGCCTTATCCGCTCGCTCGCTCGCTCGCTTTGCTTATTGCGAGGCTATAATAAGCATGGAATTAGCGACGGAATAAGAAGTGGATTAGATTCTACTCTAGAGCTGAGATCTATCGAGCAGTTGGACTGCTCTTTTTATATCTTTTTCGACAATAGGGTTGAGCTCAATGTATTTCGAAAGGAAGGAAGGAAGCAGTTTGGTAGATGGAAACTGGGTTTCTCTTTATCATAAGATGTTAAGGACTTGATTATCAACAAATAAAAATATGAAATCGACAAATCGATTCTCTAAGTGACGTATCTTTATACCACGGTACAGGCTTAAGTATTATGTCCTAGGCGTAGGTATTACCCTCGAGGATAGGCCAGCGAAGACGGATTTCTGAGCCTGTACGTAGCGCTGGCTACGAACCTGCGATATTCTCAACAATATTCGTAAAGCCGATCAGAAAACGCACCTTTTTCGAAAGGTAATCGAGGCGATGCACTTTGATGCTAGCCGTATTTTTCGTATCTGCCGACGGAACGAACGACGATTAGAGATACGGAACAGGTATTACAACATACTCTTTCGTACATAACTCGAACCCGACCTTATCGACTAGTTCGATGACTTTATCTGACGACTGAATTCGACCCTTTTTCTCGAACCCGATACGATAAGCGGTATTCACGATCGATTATACAAGGACGCTAAGGGAACGAAGTAGACACGGTGGCGGCTTGGCTTTCGGAACTCTCGGGATTGCTATACGGTAAAAGAACCTTCAGCAAAGGCTGGCTCGAGGACGCTTACAACTATAATCGATTACGAATACAAGAGGTCGAACGAAAAGAAAAAGGAAGAAGGATCTTGGTCGGATACTCGATTGAATGGTCGGAAAGACGGTGTGTCGAGCTGCTGATAACTAGTCGCAATAAGAGGCGACCGCAGCAATTGATACTTTCCAACTAGATTTGCCGTTAATAAGAAGCACTAAGATACATTAGAGCTGCAATACCGCGGGATTAAAGACCCGGGACTTTACATCGATCTAGCTTTTTTCTTACGGGTTTTTGCTTTATCGATGTAGATGGACTTTGTATTTAAAGAACTATTCAATTAGTTAAGGGT